AAATTGCAGTTGACCAGACGGAAGTCTGGACGAAAGACCGGTAACACCTAAGCCGAACGGATTGTTTTTTAATACCATCTCCAAGCTCAAACTGCTAATACCCTCGCTCAAGACCTTTCATAGTCCGAAGGGACTACCAATCCAAAGTCCCATAAAGCAAACAAATATGATTTATGTCTACTGTTCATCACTAGGAGTCTGGAATGGACTCCTATGATGGAAAACAAAAGAGAGAAAGAAGTTGAGAGCTAAACAAATCGTTACAAGAAAGAAGAAGAGAAGGCTAGAGAATTCAAGAACCTACGCTAATGGCGATGAATAGGTAAAGGGTTCCAAACCCAAACTGTATTTTGTATTCGAGGGTTCAAAACCCATAATAATCGTAATAAAATATTTTCTTTTTTTAAAATTGTCTTTTGTTGTTTATTTTGTTCTTCATTAATCAGAGGTTTCATTTTGCATAAAATGTGTAATTAACGATCTGAAATACAGATCGGAAATAAGAACCTGCTATTCAAATAATCAACACTGTTTAGTCAAAAAGACTAAACAGTGGACATTTGTAACATAAAATTTTGAAATGTGTTGAAACACTTCATGTTTTAAAATTTGTGTCTACACCCATAAAGCAAACAAATATGATTTATGTCTACTGTTCATCACTAGGAGTCTGGAATGGACTCCCATGATGGAAAACAAACGGGGCCTTATGGATTTGAAATGCATATAATTTGACATTATTTATACGAAGAAATACTACGCCAAAATAGGACATTAACGGCGGTTTTTTTAACGGCGGTAACGGTTTAAAGATATTATTAACGGCGGTAACGAAACCGCCGTTAATGTATCTTTAACGGCGGTTTTCGTTACCGCCGTTAACAAAACCGCCGGTAATGACCCTTTAACGGCGGTAATGAAACGGCGGTAATGAAACTGCCGCTAAAGCCCTCTCATTACCGCCGTTAATGACGGCGGTCTTTGTCGGCGGAGCTCCGCTGGAGCTCCGGTGAGTGGTGACCACGCGCGGCTAGGGTTGAACATGACCATCTACAATAAAGTAAAAATAATGTTTAAATATTTATTTAGGAAATATATTTCATGAAGAGTGGCTGTGGTGGAGTGGTTGGTGTGGGTGGATGAGAGGTTGAGGGTTCAAGACTTGGGGAGTGCAAGAAGAAAGAATTATTTTTTGAAAAATTTGAACCTATTTACGGCGGTAAAGAACCGCCGTTTTTGGTCTTATATTACTGCCGTTTTTGGTTGACTTTTAACGACGGTAATTTACCTTTTTATGACGGTTGTACTTTTTTCGACACGCGCATAAACAGCGGTAACGAAACAGCCGTTAATACCGTCGTTAAAGGCTTTAACGGCGGTTTTACAGCCTTTAACGGCGGTAAAAAACCGTCGCTAAAGCCCAATTTTGGCGTAGTGAAAAAACAAGAAGAATAATTAAAAATTAGATTTTGTAATTTAACCAAGTATGTGAAGACTATATTAAACAGTTTTGTCATGATGCATTTGAAATAATTATGCAAAAGTAGTTATTTGAAATTATGCTAAACAATTTTTTATAAGTTACGAAATATTAAATAAAATACGTCTTTTTCTTGTTATTCTATTCACCTATAATAGTTCTCTATGATATTTTTATAAAATCCAACCTCAAACCCTGAGGGTTGTCCTAAGTGGTTGGTGAATATCCTCCCCAAGCAATTGCTCACGGTTTGATTTTTGGGGTTAAGCTAGCCTACATTTGACCAGACTAGGATTAGTTAAGGTACGCATAAGTTGGCTTGAATACCCTTGACCGTTGAACCCAAAAATTTAAAAAATTAAATCCAACCTCAAATAAAAAAAATCCACACCTATCCAGTCTTTCAGTTATTTGCTGTTTGTAGATTTTGTAGAATTTTTTTACAGAATCTCCATAGCCTGTTTTTCCTTTCCTAAATTATTGTTCACTGATGGCTTTTCTGATGTTTGTATTGTGTTTTGCAGGAAGTAAAGCGATTGCTTTGGGGATTGAATTGTGGAAGAGCAGTTGAACCCATTTCTCTCCCTGATCCTGCCAAAGCTCTATCTTCAAAGCATGATTTTGATCTCCAAGTAGGCAACAATATCATTTATTGTCATAAAATTTAGAGATTTATGGCGATTTGGAAAATTACACCAATTATTAGGTGCTATGGGTTTAGGTTCTCTTTGAAGAATCAAATTCACATATGATACCTGACCAGCTCCATGTTGTAGCACTGACCCACAACTAGTAGGGCTGCTTGGATGTTGTTCCAGGGAAGTGGTTATTCCACAATATTTGATATAGCATTGAAGCGGCACGTTAAGTTAAAATATGCTCTCTTATTTTGGGATGAAATCATGATTTCCAAGTGCGATTATAGGGATAACATCTATACATAATTACACAGTAAAGGCAAACCATTTCCTGTTCAAACAAAATGACGATTACAACTAGACGGCAAGAAAAAGTTCCAAAAATTATTGTTTCTATGCCATCTGACTTTAAGTTTATTAAGCGGTGAGTTTTTCATGCGTACTTCAAAAAATTACTCTGGTTGCCTACCTCATGAGCAATCTCAAAGAGCTTCACGTTCAGACAATCTCTAACTCAAGTACCTTAGCTTTTATACATATCGTTGAAATGTGAATTAGCTAGTTGTTATACAAATATCATTTTTAACATGCTCTTCATCGAATGTGATTGTTTTTCAAGTTCTTGATAGCTCAGCTGTGTGCATTTTAGCAACCAAAATTGACTTTTTTAAAAGCATCATGCTATCTTCTTATCGTTGTTCCTATTTTATTGGTTGTTCTAAAAATTGGTCATCTATATATATATATATTGTTGCAGGCATTCTGCTTTCATGCTGACAAGGAATTATTAAGAGAACCTCGAATAGTCAGGGTTGGTCTTATTCAAAATTCTATTGCTCTTCCCACAACTGCACCCTTTTTGGACCAAAAGAGAGCCATCTTTCAGAAAGTGAGGCCTATTATTGACGCTGCAGGTGCTGCAGGAGTGAATGTTTTATGCTTGCAAGTGAGTCATAGCATGAGCATTGACAATTCTCAGGAGTTAATTTTCCCATCAAAGTTTGAAAAATAATGAGTACTTTTTTTCTCTAATTCAAATACAGGAGGCATGGATTATGCCTTATGGCTTTTGCACTCTTGAGAAGAGGTGGTGTGAACTTGCAGAGCCTGTTGATGGAGAATCGACACAATTTCTTCAGGATCTTGCAAGGAAATATAACATGGTCATAGTAAGTCCAATTCTTGAGAGGGATTTGAAACATGGAGAGACTCTTTGGAACACTGCTGTAATAATTGGAAATCATGGTAACATAATTGGCAAGCATCGGAAGGTAAATGGCATAATTTGTGGTTACATTTTTGTGATGTTTTGTTTAGCATTTCATGTTGAAATCATAATTACAATTTGCATCTGGCAGAACCATATACCCCTAATCGGGGAGAGCACATATTATACAGAAGGGAACACTGGGCATCCTGTGTTTGAGACAGCTTATGGAAAGATTGCGGTTAACATTTGTTATGGGAAGCACCATCCTTTGAATTGGTTGGCTTTTGGCTTAAATGGTGCCGAGCTTGTTTTCAATCCATCTGCTACTATTCGTCAATTCAGTGAACAAATGTGGCCTGTTGAGGTTTTCCTTCACTCATTTCCTTGCTTGATAGGAAGTTCTTGCATTGAGATTTTCTTTTCTTATAAACTGCGAAAATAGTTTAGAAAGTAGAGCTTTTGGTGTCCAATTGCGAAAAGGATTCATTATGAGATCTTTAATTTACAGTGTTGTTGTCAATATTTAAGATTGCTATTTGGAATTGAATTGACATTTGTGTGTGATAAAATAATGTCGCAGGCGCGTAATGCTGCAATAGCAAACAGTTACTTTGTTGGGTCAATCAATCGCGTTGGAAATGAGGTCTTCCCCAATCCGTTCACTTCGGGTGATGGAAAGCCTCAACATACAGATTTTGGGCATTTCTATGGATCAAGTCATTTTTCAGCACCAGATGGTTCATGTACACCGTCTCTATCCCGATACAGGGATGGGTTGATTATATCAGACATGGATCTCAACCTTTGTAGGCAGCTGAAAGATAAATGGGGGTTTCGAATGACTTCCCGGTATGAGTTGTATGCTGAGTTGCTTGGCCGGTTTGTTAAGCCAGACTTTGAGCCCCAAGTCATTTCTGATCCTTTGTTACACAAGTAACTATTCTTAAGTTCTCAAGTTAAAAACTATTTTGAATTTGAAAAATGATTATCTCCAATTATCAGGGTAAAATAAGGTTGGCATTTTGCCTAATGATTGTATAACACTTTTTGTGGTGTGTGGTGTGAGATTATAGATTCTGCCTTCTAATGGAATTTGATACTTTTTTGGTGGTGTGTTTATTTTCTTTCCCATATGATTAGTGGTGATTGTTGGATTTAGTTATTAATTGTTAAATTGAAATTACTCGATTGATAAAAAAATAAAATTTAAAAAAACAATACCAGTGTAAAATAAATGTTTGTTGTTTATGGTGGTTGTAGATAATGTACCAGGAGTGATTGATCCTTTTAAATAACTTGGTTCCGTCAACTAGGGGTGGGCAACGGTTTATCCGAATCGCTCAAACCGCCCAACCCGCCCAACCCGCATATAAATGGGCGGTTTTGCAAACATAATGCGGGCGGATGCGGTTTGAAATATGACAAATTTGCGGGTTGCGGGCGGGTCGCGGGTTAAAACCGCAACCCGCAAAAACCGTCCGCACTTTAATTAGTATTATTATTATTATTTTTTATATACCAACTTTGTAACTTTAACAGGAGCACCATTATGTTCTCTATGACACTAGGATCCTTATTTTTAAGTATTTCTCAACTTTCTTAATGTCATAGAATTATCAAGTCCTAAACTTGGTTTCTTATATGATTTTCATTGATGACTTATCCACTTTTTCCTAATAAAATTTTTCTTCTGGTGATTGATGAAGCTTCTAGTTTGATTATTGATTACCGAATTGACAATTCTAATTGAATACAACCTTTAATACATTGATATACATTTTTTTCATGACAAAAATGCTAGTGATATTAAATTTTTATTTGTAAACTCATCAGAAAATTGTTATCAAATGATCACAAATATATAAAATGAATCTAATGCTTAAATTCGATGGGAAAAAAAAAAACTTAAAAATTAATTTTTAAAGAAAAAAGTGTAAACCGCAAACCGCCCGCAACCGCCCGCACATCTACAAACCCTATCCGCACAAACCGCAAACCGCACTGCGAGCGGTTGCGGGTTGACTTTTTCCTAAACCGCATAGATGCGGGCGAGTCAAAACCGAACCGCAAACCGCACAAAACCGATCCGCGAACACCCCTACCGTCAACCATCAATTAAAGGACAAATAACATGGTGAAAAGTGACAAATACATCAAGCCATTGCCTCCTTTTTCTCTTCTTCTTTTTCTTCATTTTTATTTTTTTATTTTTTATTTTGTAGTGGTCGGTAAAAATGGAAAATGCATAATATTACATAAAAAATTTGTAATGGTTATGACAATTTATGGTTAACAAATGTTTTTTAAAAAATACATAATATTATTATGAAAATGTAATTTTTTTTTTAAACCATAAATCATCGTAACTTTATTAAAAGATTACAAAAAAATTGCCATACAAATATATAATATGTATAAAAAAATTGTCATACAAATATATAATATGTATAAAAAATATGTAATAAGATACATATGGTACATGCTCAATACTAGATGTGTAACGAAGGTTTCCTTGTCTAAGTATTACTCTTTCAATCTCAAATTATTTGTTAAACATAAAAAATAAGAATTTAAAAATAATTTGGTCTTAAAAATTTTGATTTTGTTATTACAAATTTTAGTGTGAGAATATATTATTTTTAATTTTTAATTTTTTTTTTGGCATTGGATAAATAATTTGAGACAAAAGGAATAATTTGTATATATATATCTTATTGAAACGGTTAGAGATACAAATAAAATTACCAACTTTTTGTGGACCTACCGAATTGACATATTATCCTAATTATAATAAGATGAAATGAATATTATTAGAAAAATATTAGAGACGTCAAAAATTTTGTTAAAATTTTCGTCAAATATCTCACATTCACACACCACCCGTATCAATATAATACAAGTTGTTTGGGATAGCCATAAAGAGTTGTTGATTCTGCCAACAAATAATGGCTATGTTTAGTTTACTTTTCTGAAATTTATTTCAGAAACTTTTTTTTCAAACAAAAACACTAATTATTTTTATATAATTTTATCTTTTTAGAAGGTGAAAATAATTTTTAAAAATTGAAAAATATATTTTTGATGTCTATTTTTATCAAATTAATTATTATTTTTTTATTATTTTTTTCAAAAACTAATTTGTGAAATACAAAACATACACGGCCACGAGTTTTGGCCATGCTTGGTTATATTCTGAGATTATTTAAAAATATATATTTTTTAAAAATTAATTTTACAAAAATAAATATCAAAAACATATTTATTTTGCCTTTCAAAAACATAAAATTATATAAAAATAATTTCTAACTTTTAAGTTTTTTAAAAATTTAATTTCTGATTTTTTTTTTTTTAAAACCAAACTATAAATCACCGAAACCAAACAAATCAACCCAATTTTCGATTTGCCTATGTAAGAAAACCGTCTGCCAGAAGCAAATGGGGACAAACAAACTCTGCTTTATGTGACTGCCACTTGTCGGTATACTATCAATTTAAAACCGCCACGTGTCTCTGCGCAACTGAATTCTTGACCAGCAGGTAAAGCCACAACCACCTTCATCAAAAAAAAGATGCTCACTCACACAACTTTAACACATATATACAAACAGTTTGAACACAGAGAGAGAAAGAGAGAGAGAGAGAGTGTGTATGTGCGTGTGTGTTAGGGTTTCTATTACGGAGTGTTTGGGAGCTGCATAGGAGGTTTCTCGGGGCCTAGAAAGTCCGAGAAAATGGCGAGAAACGGAGAGGAAGAGAACCCGCAGAGAGGTAACTCTGGTTCTGCAACCGCCGCCGTCGGGGTTAGAGCCAGAGCCGACCCTTTCCTGGTCGTTTGCCGATGCTTCAGCTTCATCACAGCAGTGGCTGCCATTCTTTGCATTGCTGTCAATATTCTTTCTGCCGTTCGATCTTTCAAGAACGGATCCGATGTAATCTCTCTCTCTCTCTCTCTCTCTCTATATATATATATATATATGTAATTCATGTATATGTGCGTTTACATGTATATTCATTCACTTATTGAGTTTTAGATTATTGCTTGTGATCTGTAATTGTAGATGCATTTTTAGGGTAATTGTTTTGTTGTGTGGATTATTTGTAGATATTTGATGGCATATTTCGGTGCTATGCGGTTGTGATTGCACTCTTCGTTGTGGTTGCCGAGACAGAATGGGTATTCATCATGAAGTTCTGGAAGGTTCATTTTCTAGTTTCTAATTTTGGATTTTAATTTGTCCCCCAAAAATATGAATTTCTATTAAATTTAACTTTTGAAGCGTTTTGCATCTGGATAACTTTTAGTTTTTACTTTCTTTATGTTAATTAAATTGCAAATGCTGTGTTTTCAGTTATTGCCTTTACTTAGCCAGTTAGAATTGATGGACCAACCACCAATCTTATTCTTGTTCCTTATTTTGCAAGATCAATTGGAGGAATAAAGGAAGGAAGTTTAGGATTTGGGATTGAATGAAATTTATATTTATAAAAATAAAAAATAAAAAAAAGTAGAGTATTTAGGATGCTGAAGGACTGCAGCACTTCATCTTTTTAAATCTTAATTACTGTCACCCCTTATAAGGATAAACAAAAATATTTTAAGTTTGTTTCCCTATTTATTCGAGGGGACCAAGCTTCATGAATAGGAACCATCAGGTCTGATATTGGCCTGGGCTATATAGGAACAATGAAAATATACTCGCTTGACGTCTTTATTCTAGGTGAATGTCGCGTTTGTAATGCTCTCTCTCTCTCTCTCTCTTTTTTTTTTTTTTTCTCTTCTTGTGGAGTGTGGGAGGGCAATCCCCAGGATATACACATTCTAATTAGGGCACTGCAAATTAGAAACCAAATCTTATTTTATTTACAAAACATTCAGTTACAAATGTATACTTCAGGCTTCAACTATGAGCTGTAAGAAATCTCTCATTCCTTTTATCTCCATCTTTATCCAAAAATGCATAGAGGGATGCAATGCAAGGCCATCACTTGCATTCTCTAGCTAGCCATCCACCAGCTAACAAGGTGATTTAGGCATGTCTTGTGAATATGTGATGCTTTGACTCCATTCACTATTTTTTTTGATCTGTTGGTCCATGACAGTGAATAAGCAAGTGGTTATCTGGATTTCTATTTGGATTATACAAAATGCAAGAATGAGTATTACAAAACATAGCAATGGCAAAAATGCAAAATTAAGGCTGTGTTTGGAGAAACTTTTCAAATACATTTTCACCCATTGATTTAAGTGTGGTATTTGTTTTGAGTTTTCAAATTATTATTTCACACCCACTTTTGAAAACTCTTTTTCAGGCAGGAAAATTTGATTAACCCGGATGTCCGGCCGATTGACCGGAACAGTATTTATTATTTTTTTTTTGACACCTGTTATTTTTATATTATAAATAAAAAAATTTTTTGTTTTTTTTTAAAAAATTTTTTTTGAGTTTTGATTAGATTTTATAACAGATCTTCTCTGTGATTTTTTTATGTGCTTGTGTTTAATATATTTTTGT